CCTGCGTGGACAACAGCAGCCCACACTTTAGAGAGTCCAGTGAAATGTCACAGTGGGACTCACCTCATGATTTGGCCATGCCTCCCTTGCATGTACCACTCAGGCTCCTAGGTCACAAAGAAAGGCAGCGGCAGAGTCCTGCGTTGAAAAGAGCAGCGTTTCGCTGCCTACTCAGGACAGGCGGAGCTTTGTCCCCCAGACCAGGCCAGGCCCACGGCCTCTCCTCAGCAGGACACAGGTGCATGTACCCCTCAGTCAAGGCACTGAAAGTGACAGATCCATCCTCACCTTTCTGTTCTCAATCAAACTTTCCGGTGAATGTATCATAATTATCAGAGCAAGCGTTGATAGAAAACGCAGCCTCTAGGTGAGGCAATTTTGACAGAATTAACCACAGCTTAACTGGAGCTGTTTCTCATGAGCTATTAAAGCTTTGGACCTGCACAGAGATGTGCTTATACTCTGAGGACAGCCTCCCCTCCTGATTCTTGATAGAGTCACAGGCCAGGATCACAGCTGGCCTCGCCCTCCTCAGCTCTGAAATGGGCACCTTCTAGCTGCCTATGCCCTGTCCATTTACTAGAAGAAAAGCACAGGACTCCAAAAAGGAAAACACAACAATATAAAAATTGGATTTTTGTTCGGCTCCATTCCCACAGGAGCATCCTGGCTTCTTTCCGAAAGTGTCAGGCCTCATCCCACCACCTCTGTGGCTGTCCCTCCAGCCCAGGACATCATCCCTTTTTTATATAAATAACAAGGAATGTGTAATGAGCGGCCGCTGTCTCGCGTGGAAGTAACTTCACATGCAAAGAGCGCAGAGAGGCAGCTAAAACTGAGTTTTGCTTCGGAACAAATCCTTATTAATAATTTAGGTGGTTTTCCAAATTGGAGCGGCAACTTATATATTTAATTTGTTCCAAGTGAGAACAGTTAGCTCTGATGTTCTTATCTAAATGCATCTTTTAACATAATATGTGTAGGACAATGGAGGAGGGTAATAAGATATTAAGAAGACGTGCACAGCATGGAAAACGGGTGTAGAGCTTGGTGAAGGCGTGCAGGGCATGGAGAACTGTGCTCCCCAGCTGAAAGGGGTGCTCTCCATGGTCTGGACATCTGCTCCCAGGGGCAGGAACTGTAAAAAGGATGAAATTCCAGCAGCAGCAACAGCTGCCCTCTCCAACAGAAGTCTCATCCCCTGAGCCAGGTAAACGCCAACCTGGGAAGCCTCATGGTGGCTGCACCCAGGAACCGGGTATACCCTGGACACAGGACTCTCTCTCCCTTCATTGCAGGCTGGCACGTCTCCCGAGAGTACTGTGCTAGGCACGAGCTCAGAAGCAGTGCTTCTAACCAGGCTGACTTCTTTTAGGAGGGCTGCTGCTGGAAAAGACGCTGTCTACTGGAGGTGCCCTTTGAGGACTTTTATTTTGTTGGGGGGAGGAGGGGCAAAGCAAACCTCTAACCCTCCTTCCCTTACATAACAAATCCAAACACTACTATCTCTGGGATGAGAGGCCAGGCCACCAGACAGCAGGCTGTGGAGCAAAGGGTTATGCAAGAAACCAGTTCAGGGCTTTCTTTTCTAAAAACAGAAGGGTTCAGAAGCGGGTTTGCATCGGAAAGCCTGCAAGGGAACACGCTGAATGTCTAAACCCAGCTGTTTCTTGGAGTCTAGAGAGAAAGAACTTGAGGAGTAGGGACGGGTAGCTGAGGGAACGGGGTTTGCCTGGCATAGCAGAAGCTGTAGCCCTAGGTCACAAAAAAGAAGCCAAAGGACCATCCTGAGGAATCTGGTGTGGTTCCTGGCAGCTCCCACCAGGAGCCTGAGTTGAGGAGGCTATGGGACACACAGGGGTGGAGGGGGTGGGGGGCACCTCTGACAGATGCCGCAGAAATGCCCAGAGACACTGGGCTAAAGGAAGCCTGGCTGTGATGGGAAGAGGGATCTGGGTCCAGGGCCCAGCCCCAGTTTCCCCAGAGATCCCTTCACAGAGAGCAGACACTTGCCCCCTCTCCCATCAGTAGGGACCTTGCTCCGGGTCAGTCCCCCGCCAGCCCTGTCACTGGTGAAGGATGGAAGAGAAAGACCGGATAGCTGGAGCGTCAAAGCCAGAGCCAGGAGCAGCTGGCCCTGGCACGCGCCCTGCAGTGGCTCCAGGAACGCCAGACTCTCGTCTCCATCCCTTCACTCCTCCCCACATCTCCCAGACACCTCAGAGCCGCTCCCTTAACCTTCCCCTGCCAGGCACCGCCGGGATAAAAAGGCAGGAGAGAGGTAACGGTGGGAGAAAGGTTTCTGAAATGAAGCGTTTAGGAAGGAAGGGCTGAACGAAAAGGAAACAGCGACGGAAGGACGCGAGGAGACAAGAGGGAGCTGATAGTACCTCCAGCCCTCCCGCGCGGGCAAGGACCTCAGGCTCCCGGGAGCTGCTCCCAGCGCCGTCCCCGACCCGCCTCCCTGAGGGTGGCACGGCCAATCCAGGCTGCACGTCCTCCCGCACACCCGTGAGACCCGAGGGTCGCAGGAGGTGACCTTCTCTGCGAACCCGAGACCCGGGCCGCCCCAGCCAGGGACGGGGCCTGGAGCAGAGCCACAGGCGCGGGCCCTGCGTGCGCCCCTGCGTGCGTCCTGGTGTCTGTGTGTGTCTGTCTCGGAGTGCGTCCCCAAGTGCAGGCGCCAGCCTGTCTACGTGTGATCAGTGCTGGCCTGACAGACTCCCGCCGCAGGGGGATTTTCCCCGAGGTCGCGGAGGATCGCAAGGAGCCCGCGAGCCGCCGGGAGCAGCGGGAACCTACCGGGAGCGCGGGCTACAAGGCGCCTCCGGGGTGGGACGAGCCGGAAGGCCTCGGGACGCGGTTAGCTTTTCCTGAGATTGTGGGCGCTGGGTCTGTGAAGCTGAAAGCCCAGACGCGGCAGGGGCTTGCCTCCTGTCGGAGCCCACCCTGGAGGCTCCCGGGAGCTCGGCCTCCTCTCGAGCGCTGTCACTCCTACATCTGCCTGCGTGAGCACCGGGCCGGTTGGTGCTCAAATGGTGGGTCGGTGCAAGGATTCACAGTGCCTACGAGGGCATCAGTGTGGATGCGGGGGTGTGGGTGTCTGTGTATCTGTGTGTCAGTGTGTCACTAGGGCTGTTTTGTGGGGTTGTCAGCTTCTCAGAGGCACAACTGGTCACTCGGAACCGGCCTAAGCCACCCATGTCGTGGATGCAGCCTGATGCTGTGGGTCACTGGGCCGGGGTGTGAGCCTCTGTGCTCCAGGGAGGGAAAACCAACCTTTGGAGTTTGCAACCCTCCCCAGCACAGAGGAGTTCCTTGCACAGAGTCCAAGTGACTCTAGAGGTAGAGACTGCCAGCCCCCTTGACGTGATTCCAAAGGGAACCAAGCCCCCTCTGCATGGAGTATGGTCCTCAATCTTGGTCTCCTGAGCAGTGCAGCAGCAAGCTTTCTCCCAGTGCGCCCATCCCACCGAAACCTCTTTCGCCCCAAAGGGGAGACACTTATACATATGGATATATCCTTATCAAGTTCTGTGTGTGTGCACTGGCACATGCAGTTGCCCAACTAATCATACCCTTTGCTCCTTCATCTGCGCGCACACGGGCAGTTACTCCACAGCCACACTCGGCCTCCATCCTTCTCCCAGATGACAGCCAAAGCCTTCCCTGCCAGATACCTCTTTGGGTTGGTGAAATGAAGTTGGAATTTAATTCAAGCTGGCATCTCTGACTTCTCTCCTACTAAACAACACCAAATCACCGTGTAAATGTAAACCACTGGTATTATTTGCATCCTTTCTTTTTGACTTGTTCCCCTTGTCTTTGCAAAACCAGACCACCAGCCCCAGGTCTCCAGGGACCTAGGCCAGAATCTGTTCTCTGCCAGTTTGGCCTTGCCCTCCCCTTTCTTCGTCCAGGCTCTAGTTCCTGGCTGGGGTGCTGCAGCTTGGGTCTCCTGCACCTCTCCCTTTGGGCCTTGAAACTCTACATTAAGAACTCCAGGCCAGAGAACCGCAGGGCTGGAAGTCTGGACTCCCAGGCTGCAGATATTGGGTCCTAAGAGACTTAGAAGCCCCTCAGACCCAGCCATTGTCCCAGGAGCAGAGAACTATGTTGGATATTACTCCGACTATCAGAGGTGTCTGAGGCCCACCCCGAGTGATAGGTCAGGTTCTGAAGAGGAAAAGAGGGGTTGGGGACCACCTAGGCAGGCACCGTACTTCTAAGAGTCTGGAAAAGGAAAGGTTCTCAGGCCACCAGGCTACCGTTACAGCTGCTGCATGGTGTTCAAACACCTTCCTACCCCCAATCTGGGGAGTCACTGAAATCCATGCCGTGCTCTTCGGTGAGGCTGAGGGCTCCAGGACTGACTGGCAGGCCAGAGGGACACAGAGGGGCTTCCTGTCTGAAGAGCCTTATACCCCAAGACCTGGCTGGATTTTACCAGCTTCCACAAGCCCTGGGGGGAGGGGGAGTGGGCACTCTAGCTCTGGGCAGCTCAGGCTGCTCCCATGGAAAGGCACTGGGCAGGAAAAAGCTGAGAACCTTCAGCCCGGGCAAGGTAGCCCGAGTGGCAGGGCCAGCTGAGCGTGATTGCCAGAAAGATCCTGCTTCTCCATCAGGGTGGCAGCTCTCGGAGTCCTGGGCTCTGCCAACCTCTACCTCGGAGACAGCAGGCTAACAGGAGGGCAGCCCTGATGCCCAAGCCTGAACGTCTCATGAAAGTGGCTTGTGCCACCTTTCTACTCACAAACAGGCTCCTGACTGGGATCGAGGTCTGTACCTAGGGTGAGAAGCAGAAAACACGTTTGAAGCTCATGTACACACACACATTCACACATTCAAAGGAGAGAGTTGCTCAAGACTTGGTCTGTTTCTCCACTGGCCGGGGGGTGTTGAGAACACCCCTCAAACTGGTGCGGCTCTTGAAGAGACAAGAGAAGAAAGACAAAGTCGGGGCGAACGCGGAGTCCCTCTAAATAAACACCATTTCGTGGTTTTAATAAGCAAAATAGGAAACCATTTTAATAACCAAAAAACAGAAACCAGTCTGAATAAAACTACAATAGACTAGGTTTTAATATTTTCATATCATAAGCAGGGTTTGAAATTGATCCCTTATTTTACATGAAATAAAAACAATTTCTGTTGCAGCAAATTTGATTTCAACACAGTTGAATCCGTAAAAACCAAAGCTCGTTTCTGATGCAGGACGAATATCCACAATATTTAAAACTGCAAGCACCATGCGGTTCATACAATCTTGTTATTACTGTTAATTTATCAACTAATACAAACTCAAAAAATGCATCCGGCCAGCAGCGCCAGCAATTTCAAACGGGAACTAAAAAATACGCTTTCATTTTGGTATTTTTGTCAGTGCAACTTAAATCCTTTTACTGACCTGCAGGAAAAAAAAATGTAATGATAAAGAAAAACACCCAGCTCTTCCCTATAACTACTATACAACAACTGAAGGGGGAGAGGGGAACACCACCAATAACTGGCCTGATATCTCAAAATCAGGGAAAGAAACACACATAACGTGTTGGTCTAAAGAACGCACTTGAAAGTTGCAAAATTACTTGCCAATGTTTGGGTTTCCAGTACTTTCTGAGTGTGGCGGTTCGTTCAACCCAAGTTCGGGTCACCATTGGGCAGTATCCGAACTGGCGAAGCTGCTCGCCCTAAGGGGCACTGCGACCCCGGCAATTCGTGTGGGCTGGAAAGGTTGCCAAAGGATCCTGGGGGTGATTCTGTCTGCAATAAAAAGCAAACTAGATCTGTTTTCCTTTCCTTTCTTGTTACAGGTGTCAATTTAGCCACCAGACAAGGTGGGAGCAAGGACATTCTGGCCCTTGGAGGTCTGGAACTCCACAGCTGCCCTGCCTAGGTACTTGGGAGCTGGGTCCTCAGTCCTCTTTCTCTCAAAACCCACAAGGTTGAAAACTACAGCGGGAGGGGAGAAAACAGGCAACTTCCAAAGGTGCCCCAAGACAAATTGTTTTCTGAAGCAAAATGCTCAGAACTGTTTGTTTATTTGTTTGTTTGTTTTTACTTACAAAAAAGAAAAATGCCATAATAATAAACCCAAACAAAGACACTCTTGCTCGCTTCCACGTTCTCTAGACGGTTTGGCGGGCGGGTATTTACAAGCCGGCAGCCGGGGCTGAAACCGGCAAGCAGTCCCCGGAGTTTACTAACTGCGTTCCCTTCCCACTCAAAGAAACAGGGGTTATGATCCATGATCAACAACATGCTAAAGTTAAACAAGAAAATGGTACAAAATAGAAATTATTACCATACATGTCCAGCATGCAGGATTAATATTTTTAATGCAGATTTTCGTATTTTTTTTCTATATAATCGAGCAGGCAATAAAACTGATGAGATTTGCGCGCAGAACGTCCTAACTGAGGCCCGCGTCTCTGGGCTGAGAGCCAGTGTTCTCCGGACCCTGGACAGACAGGTCCGTCTGTCCTTCCTTCCTTCCTTCGCTCAGCCTCGCCTCACGCCTGCCAGGACGCCAGGGTCCCTCTCCTCTCCTCGCTGCTCTCTTCCTGGGCTGGACTGCGCTCCAGGCAGCGGCCCCGGCTTAACGCACAAAGTTCAGAAAGCCAGGAGTCTCTAGACGGCTTTGGCGAGTCCTCGGGACTATGCCTCGTCGCCCTCCAGCCTGGAGAAAAGTTGCTCCGGGACTGCCCACCCCCTCGTCTCTCTCTGGGTCTGCTCGAGTCTAGGAGGCGGCGCTGGCGCACGCCGCTCTTGCTTTAGCCAAGGTCCCCTGCCTGCCCGTGCGCCCTCCCGTCGCCCGCGTCCCGCGCGCCCTTCCTCCCTCTCCCTCAAGTCAAACAGGTCAAGGCTGGGGCTGTGGCAGGGACAGGGTCCAGGGGAGTCCGGGGCTGGGAACATGGGACGGGGAGTCCGGGCCGGGGCAAGGGCGGGGGCCGGACCCGCCACGACTCACAGAAAGAACTCAGGAGAGGAGGGGCTGTCGCTGGTGGAGCCCGCCTCCCTGAAGCCGGAGTTGGCGAGTTTCTCGCACTTGACCTTGTAGGCGTCTCTTTCGCGGGCCAGCCGGGACACCTCCTGCTTAAGCTGCTCCACCTGCTGAATGAGCTGTGTCTTCTCATTCTCCAGGTGGTGTTTCTGCTGGACACGTTTATACCTGCACGACTGGGCGTAGCCCCGGTTCTTCAGGGTTCGCCGCTTCTGCTTCAGGCGGATCACCTCATCCTTGGTGAAGCCCCGCAGGTGGCGGTTCAACTCGCGCACGGACATGGACACGAGCTGGTCGTCGGAGAAGCGGTCCTCCACGCTGCCGCTACCGCCAGCCGCCGTCGCTGCAGCCGCTGCGTGCGGCCCAGGCCCAGGGTGGCTGGTAGGCAGCTGCTGCGCGGGGCTGGCCGCGCTGGACGGCGGCGGCGAAGCTTGGTGATGGTGGTGATGGTGCGGGTGTGCGTGCGGACCCAGCTCTTCATGAGCCACGCCGGCTCCCGGGTACGCGTGGTGCGGGTGTGGGTGGTGGTGGTGATGGTGGTGGTGCGCGCCTCGGAAGCCGTCGAAGCCCTGCAACGGCTGTGGCACTGGGTGCGAGCCGATGAGCGCCTCCACCGCGTCCTCAGGCGTCAGGTTGAGCGCCTCTGGGTTCATCTGCTGGTAGTTGCTCGCCATCCAGTACAGGTCCTCCAGGTGGGTCTTCTGTTCGGTCGGGCTGAAGCTGGGCGACGAGGGTACCGAGCTACACGGCGTGCTGAGCGGTGTGGACGACACCGAGCCAGCTGGCTGCAGGCGTGTGCAGGGCCGGCCCGGGCGCTCCGCGCGCCCCAGCGGCTCCTTCTTCACGTCGAACTTGAGCAGGTCGAAGTCGTTGACATACTCCATGGCCAGCGGGCTGGTGGGCAGCTCGGGCCCCATGCTCAGCTCCGCGGCCATCGCTGACGCGAGGCGCAGCCGCCGCCGGGAAACTTTGCTGCCGGCCGGGGCGCGCCGAGCCGAGAGCGGGGGCGAAGAGCGGCGAGCCCGGGAGGCGGGGAGCCGAGGACGCAGCGGGCCGGGGCCGCTGGCCAAGCCTTTGTCTGGGGACGCGGCGGCGCGCTGGAGAGTCCCGAGGCTGCCTGCGTCGCCCCAGAGCTCGGGGCTGTGGCTGCGCCGGGGCCGGGCCGAGCCGGAGGGGTGGAGAAACGAGCGGGGCGCGCGGCTGTGCCGAGGGGAGGCGCCGGGCAAGCGCCCGCTGCTCGCTCTCGAGCTCTCTTGCTCTTGGGCTCTCGATCACAGCCGCTCGCAACCCGGCGGTGCAGCTGTGCTGGATCCGGCGCCGCTGCTGCCTTTTATCGCCTTCCTGATGTCACTGGCGCACGGGGGCCCAGGCGGCCCAGCGCGCTGGCCAATGGCTGCTCGGCCCCCGCGGCCAAGCGGCGCAGGGCGGGGCGCGCCTGACAGCTCCTCCGCCCCCCGCGTCAGCTGACTGGCGGCCTGAGCAGCCCGGGAGCAGCTGAGGCCTGGCGAAGGGCTGGAGCCCAGTGGGACTGCCGGCTCGGGCCCAGCCCCCCACACCCTCCAGGTCCCGGCCCCTGCCTGCTCGCCTCCGGTGCCAGTCCCCCCTCTAGGCCAGGCCGCCGCTTTCTTCCTTTCGCGCGCGCTCTTCTCCCTTTGCTCCCCCACCCCCAGGCCGTGTCACCCCCAAAGAGGCTCAGAATGTACGCCGGGACACCTCTCGAGCCCTTTGTTCCTAAGAGTCCCCCGCCCAGTGGGGGACGCTCCGTGCGCCGCGCGGCTGCGGGCTGTGTGTGTGCAGTGTATGCCTGTGTTTCTGCAGGGTTGCGTATATTTGTGTGTTAGGGAGTGAGGTGGGTTGGGGCTCCAAGAGTTGTGTTCAAATCCAACTCTGAGCCTCAGGGGACCCTCCTCGGGCCAAGCAGGCGGTTCCCCTCTTGGTGGGTGCGGAGGCTCAGCCCTGAGACAGGACTCCGCTGGCCCTGCCGCTCCCCGCGCTCACCCCACCCACAATGCCCAAGAAGAAGGGAGCGGGTTAAGAATCTGCCAAAAGGCGCTGAGTCCCTTTCCCCAATCAGACGCACGGAACCTTGAGTTCCCTGAGGCTTCGGGTTGAAGCCAGCCCAGAACGGTGCTCCGGGAGGCTCTCGGCTGCTGGGGAACCGGCCCTGTTATTGTTTGAACGTTTTGTAACGATTAAGCTGATCCCGGCCTCAGCCGGCCGCGGAGAGGCTCAAACAGGCATAAAGTGCGACCCCAAGTGGCCACTGTGCGCAAAGGCGCGCGGAACCGCGGGGCCCGCAGCTAGAAGACTTGGACGTCGCCTCGGACCCGGCTGGGTCTTCCTAACTGAGCCAACCCAAGTCAGCCCACAACGCAGGCTGAATGTGCAATGGAACCCAGGTCAGGTTTCCCTAGAACCATGCACAGGTCCTCCGTTCCGGTCCTCGGACTCAGCCTCGAGTTCTGCGTTGAGCACCCCATGAAACTCTGCACCCCAGCTCTTGGGGCGAAGCGGATCCCCCTTGGCAGCTCTCTTCGAGGGAAGATCATGGGTCGAGTTAGGCCGGTGGCTAAAAGCGGGAACTCCCCAGCAAGGGGCCCAGGGCTGTCCGGTGCGAAACCTCCCCAAAGCGCAGACGGGGAGCGGGTCCGGAGGGCACCGCACTAGGCATCCAGACAGGTCTCGGGCACTGCGCACCTTCCCTACTTGGATTCAGGTTGGCCTGAAACCAGAGGTTCTTCTCGCGACCCCGGCCGGGGCGCAGAAACCGGATAGATCGCAAATTCGCTGTACGCGGAGAACCGACCCGCCTCCCACGTTGCCTTGTGCGCTATTGCATTGGGCGCGCGCAGCGAAAGGCAGGAGAAGTGCGCACTGGGTGAGTGTGTCCCGGCCGCTGCCTGTGCAGGACCAGCACGACTACGCCGCGCGTAAGGGTCAGTCAGGTGGGCCTCACCAATGCGGGCGCAGCCAGACTTTTTTTTTTTGAGAAGGTATTATATTTGCCTCCAATTAATCTGAAAACTATTCTCTTGCGCCCTCGGTGAGGCTGGGGAGAATGTGGTCTTCGCTCGCCTATTTTAAACAAAATGAATAGATTTTAACTAAAACTTGGACTAAAAGGTTTGGCTCGTCATTTGTAATACTGAAAGAGCCCATCTTCAACCCTCTGCAAGAAGCGTGCTCTCCGCAGAAACGATTAGGCTGACTCCAGGGAGAGTCTGGGCCAAGCAGCTGCCCTGCCCCTGCCCAAAGCTGGGCGCAGGGGAGATGCAGCCTCCCTCTCCCTGTCGCGTTGGCACGCAGTGAGAGCACATTCGGACCGCGGCTCAGTGGGGAAACGTATCGAGGCCATGCTGGGTCGGCCGTCTGGGTCTGTGCAGACGACGGCTCCGGCTTGAGGGGGCCCGGGCTGCATAAACGCACTGGGCTCTCTCCGCTCCACTGAACGCCCTCCTTCCGTGCTATGGAGACCCGCGGCTCCGAGAGCACGCCTGACTCTGTGGACTTCTGCGTACGCACTGAGGCAGCCGGGCGGGTCTGTGCTTTCCCCGTGTCCCCTTGGGTCGGCCTGACCCCGACTATCGAGACCCGGACCCGAGTCTCAGGGGTGAGGCCCATCGAGGCCCTAGGGTTTCCTTCTGCCCCAGCTCTGCGGTTCCAAACCACCGGGTCTCCTGCAGGCGTCCTGCCGCCGTTTCAGGGTCTCTAGAACTCGGGCTTTGTCTGGGCAGGCGCGCTCTCCTTTGTCCCCGTGCCTTTCTTTCCGTTGCGGTCAGTTCCATGCCCTGGGCTCTGACTGAGGTATCTCTGTCCATCCCTAGGTCCACCTTCCCCCCAAAAAAACCTGTTTCTTTGTCGCTGTCCCAGACTAGACAGTCCCTTCTCTCCCCACACCACCTCCGACAACCTCAACCAAAAAATGTTGGAAACTAGTGACAAGAGACACCAGTTCGCTCCGGAGCGAAGGCCGCTGCAGGGTAGCAGACCTCACTTGGAGGCTGGGCCTCCCCCACGCGGCTCTACCACAGGGTGGAGGTATCCCAAACATTATGGACCCCGCTTGTGACAGCCACCGCCAGCCACCACCTCTCTGCGCTTGGGAGCTGTGGGGATCAGAGTGCCTGGCTCCCCGTCAATGAGTATACATCAGTATCCGGAGTCTGCACTCCATCCTTACAAGACAAGCGGGATGGGTGGGGGACGAAGGAAAGAGAAGAGAAGGGATGGTGGGAGAAGTGGAGAATCGAAGAGAGGCAAAGGCAAGGAGACCAAGAGACACAGGAGTGAGTGGTGCGTGCAGTTTCAAGCCTCTTTTGAAGGGAAGCCGAGGTGGACTGGCGGCGGCCAGAGCCCTTTATGGAAGTTTGTTGTCTCTAGCACCCAAAACTCCAATTTTAAGTTTTCATCCTAAAGCAACCACCTCTCCCTACCCACCCCAGGTTGGGCCAGAGGGGAGGCTCCTGGGCACACCACCTTGGCATTCTTCAGCTACAGATGGTGAGCCAGGAGGCTCAGCGGGGTCCGAGCCTCCGCGGAGGCATGGGGCACTCGGGGTAGGGGCGGATGAAGAAGTTATTCCTTCAGGCAGCACCGGGTCCCCGCCAGCCGCAGGGTTTGAGGTTCGCCGCGCCGCTTCCGCCCGCCGTAGCTCAGCCAACCAACTAACCGGAGAGGGGCCCCGCCGCGCGCTCTCCCGGGCGCCTCCAGCCCAGCGCAGCGCTCCGGCCGGCGCTTTCAGCCCCAAGGTGCCCGTACACCCGTCGTTTCCCGAGGGCTGCAGGTGTTGGGTGTGCGAGTGGGCGTCTCTGTGTGTGCAGGGGTGCGGTGGGAGGCGTGTGGAAAGGGTGTGTGTGTGTGTGTGTGTGTGTGTGTGTGTGTGTGTGTGTGTGTGTGTTGGGTGGGAACGCAGGGCACACGGAACTCTTCGAATCGCAGAACCCGCAACTCCCGGCCTCAGAGCTGAATGTATTCCAAAGCTGGATTACCCCGGGTGGCCAAACGGAGGCCAGGGGTCCCAAGAACCCCGGGGAGTCCTGCCAGAGAGGAGCCTGAGTCTGGGGATCCGCAGGAGCTTGCCTTCTGCATCTGCCTCACCAGATGTCGGATCACTTGTCACCTCCACAGAGCCCTAAGGTCTCTATCCCCTTTGGGGATGGGAGGGGGTGAGACACGGAAGGGGGTGGGGGTGGGGGAGGGTTTTTGTTGCTCCCACGCCCTCTGAGCTTCCCAAGGCCTGTGGGCTCCAAGAAGTGGCAGGAGATTTTTCTCCTTTCCTCTTCCACTTTCCCAAAGGCAGCTGTCACTTCCACTGTCCCCTGCCACACACAATGGCCATCAGATTCCAACCCAGTGCTTCCAAAAAGGTCTTCTTGGGCTTTTGGGTCCCGGTGGCCTTCAATGCCCAAAAGACTTAGGGGGTCCTAGAAGGGAGCCAGAGTTACCCAAATCTGCAGAGCCCTTTTCCGGCTCCCTCCCCTGGGGAATCGGGGGTCCCACCTTCCCCTCCCACACACACAGACACACTTGGGAGTGGGAATTTATTACTGAAACTATTCCACCTGCTGTTTGCTTTGTTTTAATGTGAATACTAGAAAATTGTATTTACATGTTGGTTTACATCCTATTGGACAAGTACTATGTTAGACAACCACTGGACAGTGCTGCCTCCACTACAGTTGGGATATTTTATAATAATAGTCACTCCCATATGTATGGAGATTGGCAAAGCCTTTGTCATTCGCTTTTCCCTTAAAATTCTCACAACTCTAACAGGTAGCAACTATTATTATCCTTGTTTTACAGAGATAAGCAGGCAAGGCAGGTAGGTAGGTAAACACAGATATATAGCAATACTCTCAGAGTTTTATCAACGCATCACGAGTGCCCTTTTACACAAACAAGGAGGCTCCGAGAGGTTAAGTGATTTCTTTAGTTACACACTGGCTGGCGATGAGCTGGAGCCTCTACCCCCAAGCCCAGTACTATGAATGCTATGAAGCATGTGGTCTCTATCTCGACTGGGCAGTGTCTGGGGACCCAGGTGTCAGCACAGTTCTCCAGCTGCTCTCTGGGTCAGGATTTCCAACTCTCCACAGACTTAGTGGTTCCGGTCAGGTCACGGCTGAGCCTCCACCGAGTGCCAAGTGTCTGATGAGGGCTCAATTATAAGGGCAGTGATTAATGTGCCTTCTTGTTGATGGCAGTCAAACATCCTGGGCCCCTCCCTCTCGTCCACTTCCCTGACTGCGTGTGGCGGGAGGGTGACAGAGAAACCAAGGCAGGATACAAGCCAAAGGAG